CCTCGGCGGCGTGTTTGAGCACGGCTGGCTGGTCACCTGCATCCGCGGCACGCTGCATGCGGAAGCCCTGGTCACGCACAGTCTGTAGCGCCTCGTGCAGCAGATCCTCCTCGCCCTGCGCATCCAGCACGAAGCCCCCGAGCACCATCTTCGGTAAGAAGAAAAAAAGATTGTGAGAAAGTGTCTGTCTGATATGTGTAGTATTTGGAGTTTCCTAATTTGGGAAACCTAGATCGTTCTAAATCAGCAGGAAATTAGATTGGCAGAAGATGCAGACTTTGGCGTACTTGTTACGAAGGCCGCCTGCCACGAATCGCGCTCCGAAAGCTTTGGTGCCTCCAGAACCACTGGGATTGACAGATCGTGACATGCCTTCAACACCAGCTCCCTCGTACTGCCCTGCAAAACTCCTTCATCCGCCGTGTATAATTTCCCACCCTTCACTGCAATGATCAAAAACACCATGTTAACCTTCAGTTACTTTCGAAGCCAATTAACAGCAACTTACCAACGAAGAAGTTGGTGATCAGTCCTTCCAGGATCAATCTATCGCCTCCCGGCCCAGCCTTACTCAGTAATACCTCATGGATGGGCTCGCCTCGAGTCTCCACCAGCTGCACCACGTGCTTTTCAATGGGCACGCGGTCCTCAATCCACTGCGTGTGTTTGCATCGAGCGTTGGTCCGGCCCTCTCCATAGACCAACACCGTTGACGCAAGGCACTTGGGCGTAGGCATCAGACAGATATGCACCGCTACGCCGTAGTCGTCGCTATCTGGCAGCGGATACCAGAGCACAGATAGCATTCCATCCTCAGTCTCTATGGCTCGCCATTGCGTCAACACAGTGGTTGCCAGTAATTGTGTGGCCATCTTTAACTTGTCCAACTTCGATCTACCCTGATTAAAGTTGTTGTCCACTGTGGCGATCCCTGTTGATAGCCGTTGCAAGTGGAAGGACCATTCTACCAGCACTTTGGACAGCTCGGGCGATATTTCCACCGAAGCTATCGCTCTGGCGCATGTGTACACGCCAGCAGGACGAGACTGCAGGAACAACTTGGCAGAAGGGAATTCTTCGCAGTCGCGAACAGGTATATCCTTCACTCGTTCCTCATCGGCCGACAGAGCGCCCTGAACTTCCGCCACCAACGCTAGCATCGTAGGTTGTGGAATAAATGATGAGCTTCGAACACAAATTTTGTGTATTTAGCCTTTTCAAAAGTTATTTATTTAATAAAACACAAATTCACTAATACGACATTCGTGCAACATCCACTTTACTCGTCCGTGACCTCACATTCGGTCTCGAAGCCCCAAGCAAGATGCTGCGTCGTAGCTCCCAAGCGCTTCTGGCCACTGCGGCGCGCGCCTGCGCCCCTCGTGCGGCCCCGTCGGCTGCCACCGCCTTCCGCCTGCAGATTTCGAGCTTCTCGACGATCTACGACAACCACACGCCGTTCGAGGTGCGTCCCATGCGAACAGCTACACTTAATATTTAGTCTATTGACGCTAATTTGTTGTCTTTTTATCTACGTCTTAGGACATCAACCGCCACCGCAGCGATGCCGAGCAGCGAATTGCCCAGGTGCCGGTTGTGGAGTTGGCTAGCAGCGTCGCAGTGTGCGACGGTGGTGGCGGCGCCCTGGGTCACCCGGTCGAGTACATTCAGCTGGACACCCGCAAGCACAACACCCCGCAGACCTGCAAGTACTGCGGTGTGCGATACAAGATGAAGGAGGGCTACCACGCCGGACACTAAGGCGGCAGATGTTGACTGAACAGGGAGAAGCAGGCTTTGAGCTGCTGCTGCGCTGAGGAAACGATCAAGTAAATACAAAGAAAAACACACGTGAAGATTTGTTGCGTTCTGGTGGTGCAGGTACGACTGGACCATGATGCATCTTTATAAGCAGCGCCCTTAAGATCGCCCCGGTACACATAGCAAACTAGTAAACACTTGAAAACGCAGTTACTTATTATGCAAAACAGCAACTTACGATGCTCGCGATGAAGAAGACGATGAGGTTGACAGCGCATCATCGGAAATGCCCAGGGTGTCCATGTAGCGCACGACGGCGCGATAGCGGAACTCTCCTTCTCTGCGTAATTGGCCGTGTTCCATGTTATCCAGGTGGTCCTTGACGAGTGCCAGCAGTCCAACGAGGTAGTTGTGCGTCACTTCAGGCGTCTGCACTTCGTAAAAGTACAAATACTGGATGCAAGCAAAGGGTGTTAGTCAACGATAAACCAAGGATAGCACTCATCAAGACAACGTACGGCCTCCAATATCTCTAGAAAGAGAGGAACCTGGTTCGACGTCGTGTCCTTCATTGCATCTGCAATACGTAGCGATCGCTGGAGGCATTCTCGGACGCGCTTGCCATCTTGTTGAGATGGATGCTACAGTTAGGAAAGGTAACATCTATGAGTTTAGTATTAAAACAAGGAAGTTTAATGCAGCTTACCCAAAAGAGGTGCGCGCAGTTCAGCACCATCAAAGCTTGTTCGTTCTTCTTGAGCAGGCGAGCAGCGTATTGTGTTGTCTTGGTG